TATATATATATATATATATATAATGATAACCTGTTTAGACTTTTATGGTTTTGGGTCGCCAGGAGATCACTTGCCAGGCGAAGAATCGCTAGTCGTTCGTCTTTATGACTGTTTTTCAATCTGCAACTTTAAGACTCATTCGGTAATACAGTTTCACTGGTTGTAAGCTCAATATCCTCTGATCTCCGAGTTGTGTCCACTGAGGTGGATAAATCTGAGGAAGAATGGGTCACCTGTTCTCGAAGGATATAAATGTTACAAAACCTCTTTTTTGGGACTGCATGCTCACAAAACCCTCCTTGGTTTAGCTGAAGCTTCTTGGGGAGGTGCGTTTACTGAGTGCTGTAGATGGCGGCATCCTAGTATTTATAACGTTGATCCGTTTGTATGTCTTGTGTTTGGTTCTCCGATTGAAGAAAAACGACGGAAAACCATTTGTGATCACTGCTAATGAGTGAATCAGTTCAGTTCAGTTTTTACAACCGTTAACCCTGCACTTTCGTGCGCCGGTTTTGGTTGCTGTGTTTTGGTGCCCCATTTGGATAAAATGAAGATTGGAATGTTGGAAGCAAATTCAAGCGGAAGATGTAGAATTCATATAGAATGATGTTAGGGGAATAATGAGTAGATGCACGATCGCCACTGTTTGCAACACCCAGCCATGTCCCTCAGTGTCTCTAACCATCGATGACCATCATCCGGAGGTCCCCAGCCAGGGAGCCTAACGGGGCCTATGTGACCTAGTCTCCTGGTTAGGGTTTTCAAACCCTCATGCAGGTCTTCGCTTGACCACCCTTGGCTTTATTCCAACCACTACCTGCCTCGGCAAACATCGCTCGCCGTGGGCACATGCCCCAACCAACGTAATCTATGGAGATCGACCAGTTGCTCCAGGGAACGACCGCGACTGCCTACAACTACGCCTAACCTCAGCATCGCTCGTCCGGTTACCCCACCAGACTAGTGCAATGCGACGTAGACAGCGGTGTTCGAATACCGACAGTTCATCTTTATCCTGTTCCCGTAGTGGCCAAGTCTCTGCACCGTAAAGCAGAACTGGCCGAACTGCTGCAGCGTACACTCGACCCTTCACAGACAGCCGAATGTCGCGACGGCGCCACAGATGTCTCAAGTTGGCAAATGCCAACCGAGCCTTTTGTATACGCGTGTGATGCGTCCGCAAAGAGAGATAGAGCTGCCCAGGTAGCAAAATTTGTCTACTTCCTCTACTACTTCCCCAGTCAGAGTGAGGTTGGGGGCTGAACCAACCCAGTCTTGTAGTAGCATTTTACACTTTGAAGGTGCAAAACGCATACCGAATATGGCTACATTAGTACTGAAACTAGCTAGAAAAGCTTTCAACTTACCTAGGTCTTCACTTAGTAGCACAATGTCTTGTGCATACTCCTGATCAGACAGTCTGCCACCTGGGAGTAAATCGATGTCACTATCCTAGCACGAGGATAGGGTTGTTTCAAGAATTAAATCTACCACGAAGTTGAATAGAAAAGGAGAGAGAGGACAAACCTGTCGAACACCATTTTCCGTGGTGAACTCGGTTGAAAAGGAGCCGTAAGCTCGGACTCGGCTTCGGCCATTAGTTTAAAGCGGTTGTAATTAGTAAGTGAATAATTTGACCGTTGGAAAAATTACAGACGAATGACTTTCTCTGAGTCAAAGTTCACAACAAGTTCCTGGTATTTCAACAACCATCTTTGTTCCCGTGCGGAATACAGCATGAGAAAAGTTAACATGCATTGTGGTCATCTTTCTGTTGTCTGTACTCTGTTGTTCATCATTGTGATGAAAGATACGATGAAAGTGTTATTTCACCCTTTTAGTCGTATATCGCTCGTGGGACACACGTCTTCCTTACCGGAATCCCGTACACCGGTCGCGAAGCCTGCCGGCTCTTTTGGTAACAGAATGTGTTGGCCTTCTTGGACGTGTGAGTTGCATCACCTGGACGCAAGATCTGACTGGTTAAATAACGCCTCCCAATCAACTGCGGTCTGTACGCATCAGTTCGCTGTTTTGTAAGCCAAGCTTCGGCTTACCAAAGGCTGAGGTGTCCTGGGCCCGAACAAGTGTAAAATACAAGCGAACGATTCCAAATACAATCCTGTATTCAATAAAGGATGTAAATTAATAAGGAGAGTGCTCATTCATGTTACTTTCTTTAGTTGCATTGAGAAGAACCATATGAATCCTATAATTGTTTTTCCCTCTCTTCACTCGTTTCTGTACGTATAATTCCCCCCGTGTTCCAGGATCTTGGTGCTCATTTCCTTCCCTTATTAAAACGTCTCGCTACTGGCGAGTGGTTTACCAGTCGCACTTCTGCTTGCGGATTGTTCAGTGTGATCTATCAGCACTCACCCAGTGCGGTTCGAGCCGATCTCAGACAATTGTTCCGTCAGTTGTGCAACGATGACACTCCGATGGTGAGGCGTGCTGCAGCCAATCGCCTGGGAGAATTTGCTCGTTGCCTCGAATTGGAGTCACTGCGAACCGATTTGCTTCCACTTTTGCCCCAGCTGACCCAAGTAAGTTTCTTACCCGTCGGT